ATAGTAATAAGAGATTTCAAGTAATTGTGTATGCAATTAATAGTTATTTGTCATTTGAGATGTCAAAAGAGTGCACACAATTTTGTTGACATCCATTCAGTTAAAGTTCACACAGATAATGAGCTGTTTTTCATGCGTTGATTATTTCATTTGGTTTCAATTAAACAAACCGTATGCATTTACATAATAAATCAACAATTTCAACTACATTTCGAATGATTGACTTATGTGTGGAGTTAAATTGTTTTTGTTTATTTTTCTAAATCTGGGTATCGCTTCTCATAAATTTGTCAAACAATAAAAAACGCAACTTCTGTCTCTATGTCTCTTATACAAGTTAATCGCCGGCTATTATCATTGCTTTATCACAATTTATTCGATTTCCCCATTTTATACACATAAACAAAATTTTACACTTTACCAAGGTCATAATGAGCGGTGCACACATAAAGAAAAATAAAATAAACCTTTGTATGCATTTCGTAAAGTTATCAACACACATTATGAGCATACGCAGTATTTAAACTTTGCCAATTTGCATCAATTTTGCTGTGTAAACATTTTAACGTTTTAAACTGACATTTTGGTGTTATTATTTTCAATCGGCTGTTTAATGGATTGCTTTATAATCATCGACTCTTATCGACAAATGAATCTTTTACAATTCATTCTCATTTATTTTCACAATGGAAAAATTAAAAAGTAACCATCACAATGTTGAAATAAAGGCACTTTATATATATTTAATAAATTTTTAAATTATTCTCCTCTTTCGTAAATATTTGTCGCTTTCCATCTCTCTCTCATTTTGTAATGCTTTCATTATATGGATTTTCATTTCATAAATGCAAATAAAGCAAAATATAATATAACTTTGTTTATAAATTTTTACAATAAACGTGACAATATCTGAATACTGCAATATTTTTTTCGCTGTACTATGCATTAGAATTTTGTTCACTTCGGAAAAAAAGAGAATCAAGTAAATAATCGACAGTATATTTGCAGGGTTCGTGTTTACACGGAAATTTCGTGATTTCGTGCTCATTTCGAACTATGGCATTAGTAGTTGTTGTTTTTTGCCAAGTTTCTCATTGGTAATCGCCACACACTTCTACAATGTATTTTCTATGCGATGCATTGCAACCATTAAATATCGATTGATGTACATAGTGTCTAAACTTTTTTTTACGATTTTCTTCCTTTATTTATGGAAACAGTTTAATTTAAATTTCAAAATGGACACAATACAGTTGTAGCCTATATATTTTAAATGTTCGAGTTTTCTTCATTTCCAATGTTAATTTTCGTTTTTTTTTCTTTTCACACAGACTGATTTGCTTGGGCAGAACCTTTTGAACTATACTCATCCAGAAGATCAAGCATTTTTAAGGCAACAATTGATACCGAAAAATTTGGAAAAATTATTTGATAGTCAATTGGAAGATGAAAATGGCGAACCAAGAACACGTACTGATGAAGAAGAAAAAGAAATTGACAGAAAATTAAAAGAAGACAAACGCTTCTTTTCTGTGAGGTAAGAAACGAAATCATTTTATGATTTATGAACTTTCATATGAAATGCAGTCAATTAAAATCGGTCGACTTATCTCGAATGTTCATGGGTTATAGACAAAATATTCAGAATGCAAAGTCAATTCGTTTTTTGCTTTGACCCAAAATGAACCCACATTTTTTTATAAATTTATTATTATTATCAAGTACAAAGTGATAATCAATGTGAAAATTTGAGTTCCATTCCAAGTCAGTCGACTGAGTCTAGAAAGGAAAAGAATAAATGTTTATAAAATGTCAATTCCAATTTCATTGTGTTTAGATTGGCGAGAGCTGGGCCGCGTTCTGAGCCGACCACATACGAGACGATTTCATTCAATGGCAGCTTTCGTCGAGCTGATGCAGCACCACGCGGCATGCGGAACAATAATTGTCCAGCTGCATTGCAGATGCTTCGAAGACCGCGAGGTGGCCGAGATGATTCAATTCCATTACATTCAATCGGTGGCAATGATATTGTAAGCAACATATCACTTTTATGCCAAGTCTACAATTTACATTTGTTTTTCTTATGTCGTTCAATATTTTTTTTTTGTTTCAATGCAGATTTTGATTGCGATGGGTCACATTGTAAAACCGCCCGTTATTTATGATCGATTATTTGAAGCCAGTAAATTTGAATACAAAACTCGTCATTTGATTGATGGACGCATTGTTCAGTGTGATCAACGAATATCACTTGTTGCTGGTTACATGGCGGACGAAGTGTGTAATTTATCAGCGTTTACATTTATGCATCGCGACGATGTACGCTGGGTTATGGTTGCACTAAGACAAAGTATGTGTTTATCTGAATTTTGTTTCCATTTTTTGTATAAAATTTTATTAATTCCGATCATTTTTGTTTTTCGATAGTGTATGACTTTAATAGTCCATATGGTGAGTCATGTTATCGCCTTATGACACGAACGGGAAATTTTATTTACTTGCGAACAAGGGGTTATTTGGATATTGATCGTGATACGAATCAAGTGCGTTCATTTGTATGCGTAAATTCGCTGGTTGATGAGGACGAAGGTAAAAAATTGGTGAAAGAGATGAAAAAAAAGTTCACCATTATGATTCAAGAAACAGAAATTACATCAAATGAACCCGATGTACCGGCTGTTGAAAATCCCGTTCAATTGGAAAGGGCGATTATAAGCCTGATAACGAATTTACATCATGAAAATGCAAATGAATCGATCGAATCACCAGAGACTCAAGGCTCAATTGATGGCCATGAAAGTGATACATGCCGAAGTGTTAAGAGTCCACCCCTTGAAATAATACCACCGAAAGCATCAAGTATAAAAACGTCGATCGTAAATAGTTTGCCGGTGGTCAATTCAACGATACGGCAAGTACAACAAAATTCAAACAGCGACACAGACGATGACAAAACATCAGTGAAAAAGGTAACAACAAAAGTTGTACGAACATCAGTCGTTCAACGTAATGCCAATGCAAACAATCAAAAACTGTGCGAAGAGACAAAGTCAACGAATCGAATAAAAACGACAATTGCAACAGCCACATTGAATTCAACAACGAAACGTATTGCTATTGCAGCAACATCAACAACAACAACAACAACAATAATACAACCAAACAGTACATCAAGTACATCGACTGACAATGGTTCGCATAATTTTACCGATACAATAACCGTGAAACAAGAACAACCCGATTCATTTGAAGATTCCCGTGTACCGCCATTGCCAACGAATTCCGGCTATTTTGATATGAGCCCATACAATTCACAACAGTACATGAACGACATAGCTAGTCCAATGGAATGTAAACCATTCGATTTTCTTGGTTTTGATCAAGCTGATCATTTGCAAGCCGATCAATGTCGATTCCTAATACCAGAAACGGCCAATCAATATCAACCATATGATACAGGTGACATGAACAATCGCCCAAGTTCAAAGACAACGAGCGATACATCAACTAACGTATGTGGCATCAAACGAAGTTGCAGCTCGGAAAATTTGAACAGTACGAACAAACGGCGATTTTATGATGGACCACAAAATGGCAACGACCTCAATAAAACCGATGACAAATTGTCCATTCAACAGATCAATACCTGTATTGACCAATTAACTGATCCGGGTTCAGGTTTGTTTGTCATTTTTTTTTCTGTGTTATTTTTGTTGTTGTCAGTTTTTATGATTTAAATTTTTTTCCTTGTTTATCACAAAACAGTTTTACAACGTTTACCAACAACTTTTGATGTGTTGGATCAACAACTGATGGAAATTCGCGAGACCGCATCCGAACTTCGTGATCAAGGTACAACATATTCAAATCAGCAATTAAATGAAATACTTGTAAGAATGCCCAATTTTTTTTCATTTTTTTTTCTTCAAATAAATTTTTTTTTGTTTTCATCAAAGTGCTCATTTAGTAAAAGAGTGTAAAAAATGGTCATAATTAAAGGAAATTTATTTTCTTTTTTTTTATTTCGATTAATATAGGAAGAAGGCAAAGAGCAAAGTCAAATATTAAACAACCTTCGACAGAGGTACTTGTGAATTTAATTCCTTTCTGTGGTCATTTTATTTACATTTATCATCTTTTCTTTCTAATTAAAGGTATGAGATTTGTCTGCAGGCAGTACCTGAAACAATTGATGAACCACTTCTTGAAAACATTGATGATTGTGATTTAATTAGACAGTCCAGATAGAACGAATGAAGTGTAACACAACAAATTCATCGAATTATTGTATATATAAATAAAATTGGAACAGAATGCGCAATTGTTAGCTTTAATGTATTTGTCTATTTTGAAATGAACGGAAGTGAAAAACGCATTCTGAACATATCTTAATGAGAGTCAAACCATATGTACTTGTATCCAATTGTAATTCTGAAGAGAGAAAAAAGCAACTCTCAGCGACCAAAAATAGCAAGTCGTTTTCATGATCTTATAATGAAAAAAAAACCGTTTTTTTCGCATAGAATAAGTCGCTTAAAAAGGCCGGCTTTGACTTTCACTGGTGGATAGTATGAATGCGTTTTTTTGATTGTCATTGAATATAACAAATGATTGTACTCCCAGATTAAATACAAATTCTCGTAAAAAATGTTTGTAATATTGATTGAAAAAATTGCATAAAAATGTGAAAAATTAACTTTTTTTTTAACATGCTGTTACTCACATTTTTCGGCTCAGAATGCTTTTAAATGCAGTTTTCCTTTTAAGACACCACTAAATACAGCTTTTTTTCCTGGAATTTGTATCTATTCAAAGGCACTTATTTATTCAATGTTTCGATCATAAACTGTTTTTTTTTTGACAAGTTCATGGTAATCAAAACGGGTAAAAAAAAATCATCAGCGTTTTAAACCTAAGTAAAGAAAATGTAATTATAGCCCTAAATTAAATCAGAAAATGAAAATGTAATAAAAATATATATTTGCATGTTGATGTGTATGTACATTGTTACACTTTATATTGTGCAGGCTTCAACAATGCGCTGAACATACTATCACAACACCAAACTTTTATAAAAACGGATTTTTTTTTCATAGACGTCGACATTTAACAACCATAAAATAGAATTCTTTTTCGTTTCCATGCAAATCAATTTGTATTTTCTCAATAGAAAAATAAAACGCAAATGAATTTGATTTGCCCAACAAATACACATTAGCACCATACAGAAGAAATGAAGAGAGAAATGTTTGATGTATATTAAGTATAAAATAAATTATTGACTATTATGAGATGAAAGACGAAATTTTATGTGCCGCGTGCGTGTTACGCTTTAGTCCTCGTTATTTTTCTGTACTAACATCTAGATTGTTGCACTTCAATTGGATTGTAATATGTTTTAAGCCAGAAAACGATGTATACAATAAAAAAAAACTACACGCTATTAATTAACAAATTGTATATATCAATATGGGCTTGCAACGTAAAGTAAGCAAAAAGTGACAAAGGAACTACTTGGAGATTTTATTTTGATAGTCGACTTTGCGGTAACCTCTTACCTCTTAACACCTTTTATGTTTTTTTAAAAATCTGATCGGAGAGAAATAACAACAAAAATTACCCACACATTATTTTTCGCTTTTTACCCATTAATTTACATCCAAAATACTTGCCAAAATGAACTCGATTTGATATTGCGAATAAAACAAAACAGAAAAATGATTTAAAAGGTTGTATCTTAGTCGAAATTACACCTTGCTTGTAGTGTGCTCATTTTACGGCTGCCGTTGAAATTTCATGTAAATATCTAAACCAACTAATTGATACATACAAAATAAACATTATCGCATGTCGTAGTGAAACATCAACATTTTATACCAGATTTTTTTTTAATTTTTCGTTGAATTTTAATTTCGGCTTTTTCGGTTTTATCGATTAATTTGAACACATGCATTTTCTATGCATTTTTTAACAAAAAAAAATGTTTTGTTTATAAAAGAACGTATTTTTTATTGTTAATTAGTTCATCATCGTTTGTTAGATCTCACTGAACTTCTTTTATTATTAAATAAGCTGGATTAAATGAAATCCACTTCAGTGTACGAATTATGGAATCAATTTGATCAGTTCCTTTTTTTGTTTAAACTAAACAATGTTTCAATTTGCTCTAAGTACGTGAAATTAGTGGGTTTTGTGCTAAAATGTTGTATATGTTTACGGTTTGCGTATTTTCTTTTAGATCTTTGGGCCCATACTTAAAAAACACACACAATATAATGAACATTTGAAATGCCATATTTTTGATAATACATGTTATTTACCTACCGAACTCTTAAGAGAAAGAATAAGAAACCAGACAGTAAATGGAGAAAAGCAAATAAAAACAGTCCAAAGTAATAATTCCATTTTTTGCCGTGTATTTACCGGTGCTACAAGTCAGAACCAAAAGCAAAAACCTCGGTGAGAGTAAATTAAAGTTAAATGGATATAAACGAACTGATTTTTAAGAGTTCTGATGATTTTAAGAGTTATGTGAACATTTGCGTTGATATATTTATATGATGAATTTGATGTGAGATGACAACATTCAATAAATCAATTGTGTAAAAGCCGAGAGATTTTTATGACAACTATGCGAATGTAAAAACCAGAACCAATCAGTTTATCTTTCATTGCGTTATTTTTTTTAAATTCAGAGTTAATTGAACATTGTAGTACCCAATGGGTACTACCCATATAACTCATTTGCGGAGCAATTTTTTCGATGGCGGGACTGTGCGGAGTTCGGCGGAGATAGCATGCAAATGCTGTGTGTACGAGTGCAACAGCATTCTTTGCTGTTCATAGATTTATTTTGTCCAAACGAACATCTTAGTAGCCGTACACACAGCTAAGTTACTAATCATCTGCGTAAGAATGATACACATAGATGTGCTGTTACCCTCGTACACACAGAGTTTATATGTCATCTCCGCCAAACTCTGCACAGTCCCGCCATCGTCAAAATTACTCCGCAAATGAATTACATGGGTAATATCAAAAATTATTTGCTCATTTTTTTCGATTTATGATTATAATTAATAATTTGTTAACACATCTTAGCCAAACGTCTCACAAATGATGACTTGATAATTAATCACTAAGCCAATCATTTGGACTGTTTCAATGGACCTGTCTTTTTGTGCTTTAGCCATTTAACTGTCATTTTTTTTCTTTTTGATGAAAAAATCAATTCAATTAAATGAATATTTAAAAAAGAATAATGTTTTTATTGTAAAATAATGTTGGATTTTATTGACGAAATAAATATTAATTTTTCTTTAACAAAATAATATAAATAATAATAATACCTCAAAAAATCTAGTGCAAAATAAAAAAAATCGCTCAGGGAATGGTATATAATCATGAATGAAAAGAACGGAATGTTTTTTTTACTAAAAGCCCGTTATCACAAAAAAGAAATATATGAAACAAAAATCGATTTTAAAAAACGAAATCGGAAAGCATATGTCAATTCAACATCAAATCATTCAAACAAATAAAAATGGTCAAATTTTATGAAATATTTTATTTCACTTAGACGAAATGTTAAAATAGACAGATTTGCGCAAATGATGTATTTTTCATTATAATTTTGGCATATTTTACACTGAACGTTGTATTGAACACAAAAATAATGACAAAAATGTTTTGAATTCTGATGTAGCTAAAATAATAAGTGACATATATATTTATATATATTTAAATGTAGAAAATAAAATGAAATAAACAATTTCACATGTAATTAATATTTGTCTTTTTATTAAGTTCAAGTTTTTATCCAAATTGAATGAACGTTTTTTTCTAGGATTTATGTGTGCATAGAAATGTGTTATTCATACCTAGATATTAAAAAGGTATCTAGTATCATATGAAATGTGTTCCTTGGCATCGGAATCATTAATCTTTGGATGAAAAAAAAATGCCTCGAAGCAAAAAATTCATTTGATTCGACACAATGGAACTGCGGATTTTCGGAACGCTACCCATTTCACATCGTAAGCAGGTTTCAAATGTCACATTGTTATTGTATTACAATATGAAATGTGTTTATGTCAACATGTATGTTTGATATTCTGTGGATAATATTTGTTATAAATATTTGATGATTTTGTTTTCATGTAAAAAATTACAGAAAATGTGAATATCTCTGTGAACAACTTCGGGTATCATCTTTGTTTTTAATTTCCAAAATATTTATCATCATCATCTGGTAAAGACATGATCAAGGGCTGCTATGCTAAACAAAGACAAGGAAGAATAATTATGAAAACTTAACGTTTCGGTAATTTTTATTTCTGAATATTATTTATGAGATTCAGTCCTCTTACTATACAGCATTTGTAGAAATTTTAAGTAATTTTGTTTTGTTCACTGGTTTCAGAAAATTTTTGGAAAATTTTGTGAAAAACTGGGATTTTTTAATTTTTAAATGTTTTTGATTTTTGTTGTTGAACATTTCGATGAAGAAAATCGACTCAGACCTCAGACTACAATGAATACACTATACTGAATTTTACTGCTTGAACAATAACATTTTCGACAATCAAATTGTGGCGGATAGCCCTCTATGGCAGAAGCTCACAATACTGGAAAACGTGCGAATGTCGAAAACAAATCTCTCGATTGAGTTTTTCCGTAAAAAATAGAACAGAAAATATCGATTCGGAATCATTATAGATATAGAAATGGCAAATTTTGAGAAAAACAATGAAATATTATAGGAAATTCAACAAACATGTCAATCGTTTTTTTATTTTTGGATGGTTTTCCTTTGTATCGAAATTTTTGATCTGAAATCTTTTCAGTGAAAATACTATATGAATATGAGTTCAAGAAGCAAATTTGAAAAAAAAGGAGCCAGTTTTGATTTTCCTTAAAAAAAAAATAATTTCTAACCGAATAATGTAAATAATTACTGAAGCATTGCAACTTATAAACAAAAACTCTTAATAGTTCCAGGATATTCCGTTACAGAGTTTTATTTCAACGAATTGGGAAATGTTTGAAAACGACGCGTTTCCCAGTGAAACATTATACATGTAACACTATACCATATGTATAAAACAACAATTGCCTAATATTAGATTCCAAGTCCATCCAATCCTTCGTTAATATTTTAACCAACCGGCGTCCATTCTAATGGATAATTTGATTCAGACATTGCTTGCTGACATATGGATTATAAATGGTTCAAAAAAAAAACGTACAACAATTCCGGTTACTTTTCAATAACTACTACAATTTAGTGCCAAGTATTGAAAAAAACAAAAAATCTATTTCTTGGAAGCACAAATCGTGTAAAATTATTAGAATTTGGCCTTATTAATTGTTTATGAGTTATGAAAGTGGAAAATATGTATAAAATGCAATAAAAATTGGTTGTTTGTTTGCAAAGCAGTAAGAGACAGTAGATAAAATAACAAATGCAAATGATTGCACAATTTCGTCAGAGTTTTTATTGGCTACAGCGACAGCTACTGCGTGTTTTTGGTATGGTCGAAAGGCATAAAATTAGCCGATATAAATTTTTTCTTCACGTTTGGGCATTTTTATTAGATGCATACATAAATACGCCTTCAATACTCCAAATAAATTCATTATTCAAATGGTAATAAATAAACACCATAGCTAGCCAACAAAATTCCATTGTTGTTGCGTTGCATCAATTGGCAAGCGTTCATTTTTGCACATTTGTTTTGGACGCAGTATCAGTGTCGGCGTTTTTTCTTTCAAAATATTACTAGTCCGACAAACAAAATATGCATCAATTTTCCATCATTTTTCCTTGTTAATCACGTCCATCAAGCAAACAGAGAAAACAAATAATAGGCATTTACTATATGGGTGTGCGCCTATGTATATCTTATACAGTCAAATGCCTATGAATACTGCACGGAAAAAATAGCATCATAACAATTTTTTCGTATGTTATAAAAATAGATGGCAAATTCTCTCTTCTTTAGTTTGTTTCTTTTTTTTTAATCGGTCGGTATAGCGTGGACGCAGCGCTCCGAACCAACGGAAGGGAATGGGAACGAGAAAAACAACCGTGTAATTTATTTTACTACAACTACTAGCGCAAATATTTTGAAATGTGTTTTGTGCTTAGTTACTGTCCGAACATAATAACGTCTCCCATTGCAAAATCACCGAATAGACACAATTTTAAACAAGAAAATTAATTTAAATAAGAGAAAAAAAGAAAGAAATAGAAAAAAAAATGAGAAAAAATAAAACGAAATCGAGATCGGTATGAGTGAATGTATAATGATAGCCGTCGTTGCCGTCATCGTCATCTGAGCCTTTGAACGAAAACGACCAGATTCGAATGATTAGAATTTGAAAATATTTAATTGGAACACGGTGGTGAACGATGATGACACACATTAAGCGATTATAGTCCGCTGCTCTCGACGGAATAGTGAACACAATGACGGCGACGATGTTATTGAGACAATATGGAAAATAAGGATGTCAGTCTCCTTTAATTGATAACGGGCCTTGTTGTAAATGATCATCGGAAAAATCATCACTACAGAGAAAATTGAGATGACATTTCGTTAACATGGTATATACTACACGATCCACAAATACGCTACATAGATTTTGAGTAAATTCATGTATTTTGTGTGTGAATTGTATAGTATATTTCATGCACTCTCTCCTGTTTGCTCAAGCTATATTACACTTCTTTCTGTGTGCATTTTTTTATCATATTTTCGTTGATCATTTTGGACTTTCAAACCATATGGCAATGCCTGACTTTTAGTGTTTTTGTACCGTCCTAAATCGACAGACACAAGCTGACATGTGAATAGAACTTTGTATTTTTTACAATGGCTAAACATATTTCAATTTGACAGACGCACCAGTGACCGTGCTTGTAATTAAATCTCCGAATTTATTCGAAAAATATAGATGATGTGTGTGTACGTGTTTCCTGAAACATTGTTAGTTGAAGATTAATAATCACTGAACCGTTTATTTCTGAAAAAAGCAGCATAACAATTATTATTTTGTGTCGCTTATTGTATACCCAAACACGGAAAACGATTGATAAAAAAAACAAGTGAAACAATTATTTGAATCGAATCAAGTAAGCTGACCGCATTCAAATTAATACTGAGTAATCATTTCATTGGAAAATCTACAAGCGGTATATTTTTAATGTGTTTCGATTTAGTTAGATGTTTATTATTCTTTATTTTAATTAAAATAATATAATAAGAATAGAGCACATGTCGATATGTACATTCAGAAGTAGGCATTAGTTATCCCGTGTTTACGCATTTCTAAAGGTCAGTTCAATCGATGAAAGTTAAAAGAAACCATTGCTATGGACGAACGCCATCGATTGGGATGTCGAACACATTTTTTTTTCTATTCAATCATCTGTTTATGTTTGAGATTTCATCATGATTTACAATAACGTACAAACTAACTGCAAACGATCATTCAAACGAATCAAACGATTGAAAATACAAAAAGGAAAACCAAAAAAAAAAAAATGTGTTTTTGCTCTCCTACACAATGGATTGTGAGATGAAAATATACAACTAAAAATAGTAAATATACAAACTTCTCCTGAACAAATAACAGATAAAGTTCGTAAATAAATGTATTTATTATTGTCGGAATTTCAAAAAGTTTCAATGAACGATGAACAAAAAGAAAATTGAGCACTCTCAATCGGTGGTTGGGCAATTCAAAAACGACAGACAACTAAACCATCTGAAAAAAAAATGAAAATATTAAGCAGTCAAATCACGATTGGCTCAAATATCTCGAACTAAATTCGAATTTTCATGCATATGCGTGCGTTTGAATTTTCACTCGAGCGCGCGTCTTAATCAACAAACAGGTTAGTTTGCGTGTGAATTTAGGATTCGACGTGCGCGCCACACATATCAAAATTTTACTTAAAGCAACTGCCGCTTCTTTTACTACGATTTTGTGCCCATATCCACACTCACCGATTATTTTGTATAAAAAGCATATTTGTTCGGTCTCGGCACAATGCGGATAAGATCGTGATCTCGTTTGCTTTAATATACACGTTGAGCATTTCTTTGGCTTTTTTTTCTGCAGTCGTCTGTTGTTGTTTGAAATTGTCTTCTTATTATTCTCTGTTTTTTTGTGTCCCGTAATTTTCAGTTGTTTATTTGAGCTTTTTCCAACTTAAAAAAAAAAACACACAGAAAAAACGAATGAATATACGACGGTGTTGAGTTCAAAGAAAAATTGTTGTGCATTTTTCGCGGTTCTGATACGATCCGATGTCATCTAATGACATTAAATTAACAAATTAATTTGCCGTGTGATTGTGAATTGTGTCAACCAATTTGTGATTCAGAAACAATATTTATAAGAGTCCAAATGAAAAAGAAAAAACATATTGTGAAATAATCGTATTTTATAATGTAGTGCAGCATTTTCTTTCCATCCATTAACTTTATAAGCGATAAACTTTTGAAAAACTTTAAACGAACATTATTCGGTGAAGAAATAAAATTTTACGCAATTTTTGTCATTGACACAACCGACATTTTATTGTGAACATTTTTTTTCAACGAAATAAACGGCCAAAAAAGAAAAGCATCGCATTTTCTAGGTTCAATGTCAAAACAATAAAGCACGAGGTGTCGACATAGTCGCGCTTCTTTCATATACAAAGGGATATCATTATACGTTGAGATTTTTTTACGTGGCCTTTACTGGTTTCTTTTGTAAAAAAAAATAGAAAAAAAATTCTGGCCGCTATCGCAATAACAAAAAAACAATAAATAATACGGGATAGCGTGAGCAGAGCACAAACGTGAAGAATGACGACCAGAGGCATACGACGGAAAAAGTCTTCGTTATCAGAAGTCAGAATCGCTGTAATTGGGGCTAATCAAGTTGGAAAAAGCGGTAAGCTGCATTTGTGCTTTCACATTTGATCATTCAGAAACCGTTTATTATAAGATTTTCAACGAAATTTTGAGAAAAGTTCCTTATTTTCCATTTTTTTCTTTTTTTTTTTTGCAAAATCTACCTATTGAATAATATTCATTGAAGTGTGTACAGACACTTTCTGTCAGAAAGACTGTACGAATGTAATCTCAAATATTGATATTGATAAAAGGGTTACAATATTCTCATGAATACAAAACCGAAAATGTGATCCTCTTTTTTTCTCTCGAAATTTATAAAAAATAACATTGATTCAAACAAATAATTCTTCTGTTTGATTTTTTTAATCGGTGAAGATTACAATTTTAATGTTTCAAAACATATTCAGTGCTAATTCCATTTTTATATTCATTTAGCGCTCTCTGTTCGGTTTCTAACCAAACGATATATAGGCGAATATGATCACCAGACGGGTAAGTGCAATTGAAAATTAATTTTATAATTGGGTTTCACTAATTATGCATTAAATAAAATCATCATGTGTGCCAATTTATTTCGCAACATAAATTTTCGATGATACTCGCTTTTTTTTCGACGTACACTATGCAACATCACATAAATCAAAATTAATATTCGTTTTATTTTAAGAATATTTGTACATCATGTTTTATCACAAATCGACACAATTTCACATCAACTCAAGTAGACGTTAGCTGTATTTGGCAGTAAATGCGTTAAGCACTTTATTTTCAACAACAATCACATCTAAAAATAAGCGACAATTTTCATTTTGCTGTACTTATTACAATTTTGTGCGTCGGAAAAATGGACAAAAACAATCAAAATTGGAGAATTCATGTGAAATGTCACGTTTGATCATACGTTAAAAAAAAAATTCTGTAAAATTGATTGCAACACAAATAATCGAAAAATGTGGGTCAAGAACGCACAAAAATGACAAGCATTTTGATGTGATGATATCGAGCTAAGGAAATGTCGTCAAGCAAATTAAACGCTTGATTTAAGCTGATGTGCAATTCGACGCAAGCTGGCGGGAACAATGGTGCGTTCTTATGTATCATGTGTTTTGATGTTTAAATTCATTGGTATGCATTTTATAGTTTTTCACTTTTTGGACTTTGAAAAAATTCGGGAAGAAAACATTTCAAATGCAATTGCATCATCACTTGAATACTTAAAATGTATTCAATTAATTCTTTAACTTCATGTTGTACCATAATTTAATTGTAGTTTTCAATTTGGACAACAAGTAGTTTATTGAATCTGTATCCAATAATATAAACCAAAAAGTTTGACGGAAATCAGATATTTGGAGCTCTTGGAATCACCACCGAACGTTGTGGGCCGTAAAAAATTTCAAATTTTTTCAAAGAGTAATACCAAATCTCGGTGTCTTGAAGACCTGGTCATAAACTTTCATAGTAGTATTCACATTTGCTACTTAATAATAAAACTTTAGTGCCTCCATTGGTGAACATAACAAATTTTGCAAATGTGTTTTCTATTTTCTGACCGCTTTAACATGGGGTATGTTACAAGGATGTCTGTAACGATCAATATTGAAAGACAAGACTACATAACTTCATATCATATGAATCATATGAAATAATAAATTTCGAATTAATTGACAATAGTGCTGCACATTTTTTGTAGTTGAGTTTATTTTTGACTTTTATTAAATCATATATATATATTGTAATATGTACGATCGTACTTCACCGTTGATAGCCCATCTCAAAAACCCAGATTAACCTTGAAAATTGTTGTTAATACCCTTGTGTAGTTCTTGGCAGTACATATTGCTAAGTATCTTATTTGTGAGCATTAAATGCCTTTTTTGCATCGTAGATAAAATGTATGCGTCACGTGTATTGCGTAAAAACGAAATATACATGAAATTTGAATCCCACAGACAACTGTTCTTTGTTTCGAATGCGGCGAAAACCGCAACTTTGAAACAGCTTTAAAACCGCACAACGCAATTGAACTCACACCATCACATCAATTTCACCATTTTCAACCGTCGATTTGAATTGCTACAATTTTGTTTTCAAGCAGATTTTCGATGCCGTTAATTATTTTAATTATTTGCTATTTACGTAGAACGCCTATGCAAAAGAAAAACGCCAAAAAATCCGGCTTTCAAATTTCAAAGAAACCCTTTTTTTAACCATTTTTATCGCTTTCATCAATCGTATCGACAAACACTATATTTGCCAGTTTTTAGCTCAAGTTCAATTTTGGGATTTTCTTTTTTTTTTTTTTTCATTTTTTCACACAGAAAATCGATATAAACACGAGGCCATGGTAGACGGTGAGCCGGTACTTTTTGAAATTCTGGATACGTGCCCAAAGGTATACGGTTTTTGGTTGTTGTTTGTTTTGTGTTGCTTTCTCAAGTCATAAACTGTTAAATCTATTGATGGCGTCATTAGTAATATTTACGATTTGATTTCAATTCTATATGGAATGTTTTACAGATGGAGGGTAATGAAATAACAAATACAGCGCTCGACGCAATTCAATGGGCTGATGGTATTCTGTTGGTGTATTCAATAACGGATAGACAGTCTTTTAACTACATTAAAAGAGCAAAAATTGAGATTCAGTCTGACATTCCAGTATCATTGGTTGGTTTTATCATATCTTCTTGCATTATTTTTCTCTGTTGAATTGTTGCTATTCATTTGTTTACAGATTGGTAACAAAGTCGAATAATAATAAAACAAAAATAATATTACAGGTTGGGAATAAAGTCGATATGATCCACCTGCGACAGGTTAGTGCGGACGAAGGTGACATCTTGGCAAAAGATTTTGATTGTAAATTTAGTGAACTTTCGGCCGCTGAAAATGTGGTTCAAGTGGCAGATGTTTTTCATGAATTGTGCAAAGACGTCTTGAATGCCAGACGAAAATCGAAACAAAGTCTTTTGGATCGAATGCTAGGTGGAACACGTGTTTATGCCCGCGGAAAAAGCGACAGTGCATTGCCAAAAGATTGAACAAAACACATCTGGACCAAAGTATCAAATGAGAGGCTTTAACAACCAAATATGCTACGTACGGACGCATACAAATACAAACCGATATTGATTACTAGGAGACGATTGTATTTTAGTTATATTTATCTCTGATTTCATTACAAATAGATGTTATGTTTATGAACGGTCGTTCAAAAGTTTAAGCTCACTGCTCTGGTTTTCATACAATCTGGAGTTTTTCCAAAGTATTCGAATATACTCTGCACAATTATTTGATCAATTGAATTTTGGTCTGTTGTTTCTATGCCATTTGCATGTAATTTTAAAAATAGAAAATCATACAGTGGGCTCATAATTTTGAATGTCTTTCAACCAAACATCGATAAAGAAAAAAAAAAAAAGAATAAAGTTGTAGATAAAAGATTTGTGCAAATAAATAAAAGAAGAATGAAATTATATAATTAAATGATATTTCATGTTTTTAGAAAATATTTAAATGTTTCGCTTTGTTAAGATTTTTTTTTTCATTGAATTTTTTTCACTTCCATTATTTAAAATGTCATATTCAATTTAAATACAATTTATGAAACATTAAAAAGTAGTTTAAGTTAATTCACAATGGGCCGTTAAAGTTGGCCGTAAAGCGTTCGAACGCAAGTGAAGAGCTTTCAAGCTTAATCGGTGGAGGAGCAAATAGTAGTTAATACTGCTTTTGGGTAAATGATTCATCATTTTTAAATTCTTAAATACTTAAACAACCGATTGGATTTGAATTAAAGTTCGATGAAATTCAAAGTTAATTCAACAATTTTGACGCATCGACCGATAAGAAAGGATTGACTATTTATTTTCGTACATTCGTGGTACTGTGCTTACATAACTAAGTTAATAAAAAAGTAGCTGTTTTTTTTTTATTTCAAACAAATTATCGAAATTTTATACATAAAAAACCACAAACACTCAAATTGATATATTTATTGTTAAAGCGAAATGTTAGCGAAGCGATCAATGAATTATGACCAAAAAAAGAACTAGATTTGGTACGTCAATACAATTTCCAAGAAATTCTCGAAAATTTCTTTTTTTTCATTAGATTTATTAACATGACTTTATTCTTAAATTAATCACAAAGATCGAACTTTTGACGAACTGGAATAGAACAAACAACATCAACAAAACTAAAAATAAAAGATTACAGCTATTTCAGCAATACATATCAAAAAAATTAACTTCCGGTTTTTTTTGTTTCGTAGATAAAATGCATCGCGTTTAAATATTTTGTTAATGAAGACATCATTCCATACGTCGTCATTTTTGAAATTTCTTTTTTTTTTACATGAAATGGTTTTTAATTTTTGTTTTCCACACAAATGCATGAAAGTCGAACTACATGTGAGGGGGAAAAAAGTTGATTTAGAACTAATTTCTATGAATGGAAATATAAGCGTTGTCATATTAGGTAAATTTATCTAACTCGGCGTTTCGAGTTTTATTCATTTTTCTTGAGGATCTGTCATAAATGCAAAACTAACCCTGAAAATTGTGCATGTGAAATGTGGCATCGAGAACAATGAAATATTGACCGTCAAAATGTAGTCGAGAGATTATAATATATATAAATATATAGCTAATTTGTAAGCAACAAACTTGTTGAAATCGGTCCAGATGTGCAACTTCAAAATTTAAATATCAATTTTAATTATTTTTATAATCACTTGAAATGAACAATTTTCTTAGAAAATTTATGCACAAATGTAATTGAGCACGAAACTGAATTTAATTGATCTCTCTTTCTCTCTAGGTGTATGCGTGATAGCCGATACATTGATTCACCTCATTAATTATCAACATGCTCTGGTCCCTCTCGTTCTGTCTGTGATCTTGTTTAACTTTAAATCACTTTTAATGATTAGGGGTCAAATTTTTAAATATTTTCTTTTGTTTGCTAATATGAATTATATCTTTGATAATAGATGATAAATGAAAAACGCACATCACAACATCGAGTAAAAATAAATTTTCTAATTTTAAAGTGAAAAAAAAAATGGGACACAAATGCAATAAAACGTAACAACCAAACGATACATCCGCAACACTAACTTTTACCGTTTTCACATAGATCTATTATCGATGCAGTAAATTGCACGCTATTCGAAATGAAATCGAGATTGCATTGGGCCCGTTCACATTATGTATTGCACAAAAAATGGTAATTTTATTATTTCACTTCTTTCAATTACAATACTTTTGTATGAACAAATGAAAACGTGCTACTTAGTTTTCATTTATGACTCGTTTTTTATTCAATTCGCGCATGTGACTCTCTCAAACCGGTCGTCGATTGATGTGTAGATATTAAAAAAAAAAGTGCTATTATTAAATGCTTTTAACAAAAGCGATCCTGCATTTATTCCAGCGTCAACTATGGCGAACAGCTGTGCTTCATATTTTTCTAGCGCATTTATTTCAAATAAATTATTTATGCAAAATTCAATTGAATTTTTTTTTAGCCTAATTGAATGGCGTGGCGTGAAAATAAATCGTTGCTTGAATAATCATTTAATTTGATGATGATGAATTTTCCCCAAATAATTTTCAATTAAAATGTTCTCACTGTAAATAGGTAAATTATGTGTTCCATTACCATTGCGCACGCACACCATCTATTTGAATACATTTGCGGGTCGATGTGAAAATGATGCTTTTAAGTTTTGAATTTGGCGCCCGTTTTTTTTTTGCTTTCATACTACAAATGGAACCGATCAAAATAATGTATTGGAACTATTCAACTGAAAACCATCAAAGTAAAAATAAAAAGAACATAGACCGTCTACCATCAATTTAATGACGAAACAAAAAAAGTCCCGTGAAAAAGTTTTCAAAACATCCAATTATATTTCAATTATTATTCAGACCACTGGCCACAAAGATAGATAATTATAGGGGCGACCAGATGAGGTAGCGGTTAGAGCAACAAAGACAAATGCTATTCAAGTTGCTAAGATGTAATGATTAGCATTCATAATGGATGAATAGGAAATTGAGTATGAAATTGATGCATTTCAACGAGCCAGATGTGTGTGTGTGTGTGTGTGCCGCTTTTAATGCCTGTTGTGAAGTGCATGACAACCACATTCATATCTCGTTCTTACAAACTGTATCACTTTTTTTCTAGAACAATAAAAAATGTATCAAATCAGATCATTCCTATTTGCTATTTGTTTCCATCACCATAAATATATACAATTTATATTGTCGTGTCGTTAAGTTTTTATTTTAAAAATCATCACTATCATTTTCAATGTGCCAATCTCAACTATCAATTATATAATTTAACATACACGACCACCGCAATCTCCTGTTAAATGAGAAAAATGCAAATCGAATGAAAAGTGATTATGAAGAAGGCAACGTTTTTGTCTGTTGCGGTACAATCCCATTCACTGTAAATCAATACAAATTGTATGTAACAGGTGAGCCGAACATTTATTCTCTCTGTGTGTGTGTTTTATTTTGTGTTGGCATGTTTTATTTATTTTTAATTTTCAATTCCTTGTTGTGGCGAATAATTTTTTAATTATTCATATTTGCTGCGTTGATTCAATTTCAACAAATCTCGTAAACGTTTCAATTCATTTTACACTTTCATATGGTGAGGCATTTTCCACGGCTATTGTTTATATAGTTTTTTTTTTTGCGATTTCAGCTCTATTCCGCATAATTGCCAAGTGTGTGTGTGTGTGTATGCATGCGCGCACACCTGTTTCGTGAACACAACCAACAAAATCGTGGAAAAAAATTTCAAAATTGCGGAAAAGTATTTGAGATATCGTATATAATATATTTTCTCGGTTTGGATTTCTAGAACGAAATGAGAATTTTGATTACCAATGTCATGCGAACTGGCCGACGATCCAGTAATCTGCGTCATCATTGAATTTTGAATTATGTGCTCACATTTGCTTAATTAACATACGCAGCATTTATGTTGACCATTCATGATGGACCATAAATAACATTCAATTATTGAACTGGACATCAACTATGAAACAAATGCCTATTTTGAATGCAAGCTCATTTGAGAGAGAAAAAAAAAATGGGGAAACAGGTGTCGTGTTGAAAACGTAACGAAAACCACATTGTCAATCTATTTCTTATTATATTCATATATATGTTTTTTTTCTCTGACGCGTCTTACAATAAATTTCAATCAATATAAGTTGATTTATTTGCTGGACTTCTGTTTGAATTTGAATTTATGCGAATTCCGAGTCGGCTCCCATAAGAGAGAATAACACGAGAGTGTTTCTTTTTTCTTCAAAGTTTTGCTCTTTTCTCTCTCTCTCTCTCTCTCTCTCTCTCTCTCTCTCTTCTCAATTTGAAGTGTAAAATTCGAATAATATTTTCCGCAGCTGGAATGTGCCAAACGATGTCAAATCACAATTCAAACTTAATAAATTACGTGATAATTTTGCACCACGAAATATGCAATTACGCACAAGGATAACAAGTTCGATACAAAATGAATGCTTTTTTCTTTGTGTTAATACACAAAAAATTCGTTGTTATGTGGGTTAAACAATAATTTACAAATCAAATTCTATTATCACAATTGATTGGATGAGAATCCAATTAACCAAAATAAGCTGTGATATGGTGATCAAGCACAACTTACTGATCACAAAAATCGATCGGCATGACAAATTTTACATAAAAATTAAATAAAATTGATAATAATATATGTGTTAGCTTAATGCGTGACGTGTTTATATTATTTCCGACACCTTTTTCTTAACATCTAAATTACATTGAAAGCGACGTTTCCATGGACATAAAATCATGCCAAGTCATTTGTAATTTTATAAAACCATTCCCTAAAACGTTATCTAAATGTTGTCACTTAAAAGGTATGAAAATTTGCATATCAAGAACATTATGAATGAGTGGCCAACATTCTTATCAAGTGAAAATAGTATGATCACGATGTTGAAAGTCTGTGATGTCAAAAGAAGTTTTATTTTATATTTTGGTTGCTTAATTGACCACAGTCGTGCGCCAAAGAAGAGCACACACAATCATGGCTAAAACAAAACCTTAAAAAACAAAACAAAAAATCAATAAGCATGCCATTGAACGATAATATATAGTATGATCGTCGAACACGAACGGATGTTGTGCTCTATTTTGTTATGCGAGAAACTGGATAAGTGATGTGGATAAGATTTCCGTTGCTAACGATTTAAATGTAATTATAATTTATGGTTGTATTTTCATCTTATTAAGATTTGTTTTCAAGGTTTTCATTTGATCGTCCAGTGCAAACGGGAAAATGCTTTTTATAAACCCTTCAGAATGAGTCGCACGACTTTTGTTTGATTATTAATATTTCTTTTTATATTTTATTTCAATGA